AAAGGTTCTCTCCTGAGCTTGTGAAAAGGAGAAAGAGTTGTAAGGGTAGTTGATCTTTACCTGTTGGAAAGAAGATCAGTAGTGAAAGTCAGTGGCCTCGAGTGAAAAGAAATCAAGAGTGAACATAGGTCGGGACGACCGAACCACTATAAAATATGGTTTGCATTTACTTCATGCTTTTCATTTATATTGCAAACTGATATTTTACTCTTACTATGCTCATTATGCTTTCGTACATTTTTAAGTTAAACATCTTTCTGATATGAACGAAGTTTCTGAATTAACGTAAGTTTTACGAAAGCACTAATTCACCCCAACCCCTTTAGTACTGATTTTGGTCCTAATAAGTAATACAAGGAAAAACATCTTATGAAGCATGATTAAACAGAAAGTCAAATGTAAGTCATTTAAAGGTATTTGATTGTATTATTTACTTTCATATTCCTATAGAAAAAAGAAGCAAACTTGATGATAAAAGCGTTAAATGCATATTTATGGGATATAGTAATGAGACAAAAGATTTTAGACTTTATGATCCTATAACTAAGAAATTAATTATAAATTTTGATGTTATTTTTAATAAATAAGAAGCTTGGAAATCTAAGATATTTAAAATTTCAATAGTTGCAGGAGACGTCGATAATTCTAATACATTGACTATTGTTAATACCTTACTTGAATCTTCTTATATTTTGGATAATTCTAATTCAAGTAATTCTAGTGATATTGAAACACCTCCAAGGAAATTTCGTGGTCTTTCATAAAAATATCAGTTTGGTGATTTTATATTTTTGTTTTAAAAGTTACTCGTTTTGAAGTTACAGCTCAAAAAGTATAATGGGTGCAAGCAATGAATAATGAATGGTAAGCTATGGAAAAAAATAAGACTTGAAAGTTATTAAATTTGCCCTAAAGAAAAGAAGTAATTGGACCCAAGTGGGTAGACAAGTCAAAATTTAATGTTGATGGCTTGCTATAAAAATATGAAGTATATTTAGTTGCCAAAGGGTATGCCCAAATTTCATATATCGATTTTTTTAATTTATTTTTAGTTACTAGCATTAACAGCTCAAAAAAAATAATAGGTTTATCAATTTTATATTAAATCAGCTTTCTTGAATAGAAAGTTGTAAGATGAGGTTTATGTAAAGCAACCAAAAGGATTTAAAATTAAATGACTAGAAGATAAAGTGTATAAATTGGATAAAATATTATATGGCTTGAAACAACCACCAAGAGTATGGTACAACATAATTAACAAGCACCTTCTTCGTCATAATTAAAAAAAAAATTAAGTGAGTCAAATTTATATATAAAAAACGAAGGTATAAAAATTCTTATTGTTTGTTTTCATATGGATAATATGATTTATACTAAAAAATCATTAGATATGCTTTCTGAATTTAAGAAAAATATGATATTAGAATTTGAAATGACTAATCTAAAACTTTTATATTAATTTTTAAAAATAAAAAAATTATTCAAGATGTAAAGGAAATATTTTTGTGCCAAAGAAAAATATGCTAAATATTTGTTAAAAATGTTTCATACAATAACTTATAAGCTAGCTAATAATACTCTAATGAATATAAATGATAAACTTATGTTAAATGATGGAGTTAAAAATATAGATGAGAAAAGGTATAAAAGTTTAATTGGATGATTAATTTATCTCACATATTCGGATATTATGTTTGTAGTTAGTTTATTATCTAAATTCATGCATAGTTCTAGCAAATATCACTTTAGAACAACTAAAAGAGTTCTTAGAAATATCAAGAGAACTCTCAATTATGACATCCATTATAAGCAGGTAAAAGATTTTAAGTTATATCTTTATACTGATAGTGATTGGATTAATTGTGTAGATGATAGAAAAAGCACTTAGATTTATGTTCAATCTTAGCTCGGGTATGATTTCATGGACAATAAAAAAATAAGAATGTGTTACTCTTTCAAGGCGTGATTTCATCTTACTTCGAAGAATTCTAACAGATCTCTAAAGAAAACAAGATGAATCAACTAAAATTACTATGATAACAAGTATACTATTACAATGATGAAGAATCATATCTTCCATAGGCATATCAAACATATCAAAGTTTGACATCACTATATTTGTGAACTGGTTAATAAAAAAGAAATTTAAATAGACTATTCAACTTGTCGAAATCTTTATAAAAGCTTTAGCAAAGAAATAATAAAAGAAAACTTCTAAGTCATAATTATTTTGAATTAAGAGGGTATGATAAATTAATTTAAATAGTTAGAATTAGATGCAATAAAAGATAAGAATTCAAATTAAGATAAATAAATGAGGATAAAGAGATTTATTGAGTTATGATTGATTTCTTCTTTGTTTAAAAAACTTATACTTTATCCTCTTGACTAATATAAATATGTACTCTTGGGTGAATCCAAAGCAAAGTCCTTCTCGTTTATTCTACCGTCTTTCTCCCTCGTTCCTTCTACCATCTTTCTCCTTCCTTTTCTCCTTGAAATTCTACAACAACAAAAAAAACTAACATTTCCAACTTATCATTTTATCATGACATTATAAGTAATATTCAACTATAGGGATCTCATTACTTCCCCTATAAAACAGAGGGAAGACTCTAAAAACATTTATCTTGAGACAAAGACAAGTCTTCTATGTGCGCACGCGTGCGCACACATATGAATCTTAATACTAGATCTATAGACTGTGCAGCCATGTATTACCCATGTCTCAACAAGGTTCTATAACTAGCTTATTACTAGTCAAAAGGATGGTGGTACAATAACATTGGCATCTCCATCATGCTGATCGACGGCTTTAAGAGATGCATCCGAGTATACAGTACGTTGATTCGATGTCTTAGCCAGAAACGAGACAAGAGAACAATTGAGATGGACAGGTAGATGGTGCATGATCTATGACGTCATGTCAATTATGCTACGTGCAGAGGTAGTACCTCCTTCAATGGCATGGAAGCCATCATGGAATGCAGCTCTTTACGCTGCATTATTCTGTCTGGCCAAACTGGACAGTAGGTGACAAAGATTGCACGGTGGAGGAAAAAAGTGGTCTGTGGATGGCATGTGCTTTGTGGTTATGCGTTCGTAGACATAGCTAGCATTGCATCCATGGAGCTTTGAGGGGGTGGTGGTGCAACATTCCTCGAAATGATGGTGGAGAAACCCTAAGCATCAACTTTTGTTTTGTTTTCTTTTCGTCTTAGGATAGGAATCCTATCTAGCTTGACTGTACTGGTTGGACATTCACCGGAAAACGAGATATATATATATATATATATATATATATATATATATATATATATATATATATATATATATATATATATATATATATATATATATATATATAT